GGTGTCTCATTCGTGGCCTTCCTCCTCCCCAGCCCCTGCTGGCTGCAAGCTGTGCCCCCAGGACTGGCAGCTCCGTGGGGAGATATGCTACTGGCTCTCCAAGGAGTCGGGGAACTGGACTCGGGGCAGGAAAAGCTGCGAAGATCAGGGCTCTGAGCTGGTGGTGCTCAAGAATGAGACAGAAATGGTAAACAGGGAGGAAAAGGCTTGGAAAGGACCCAGAAGTCCTGGGTTTTTAGGGGGGCAGGGGAGCAAAAGGCTCTCAGCAGCAGGAGGGTTTGGGGTTCAGAGCATGGGACACTCGTGTCCCACGGATTTGGGGGGTTGGGTTTGTTCTGTGGCTTTGCACCCCACGGAACTCCCCGTGGAGAGATTTTTTTGGAGCAACTGGTGCCTTCCACGTCCCAGGAGAACGTCGAGAGTGTCACAGGCAGGCGCCCGTGGTCGGTGTGGGTCGGGTTGAGGTCGCGGCAGAAGGAGTGGACGTGGGTGGACAACACCCCCTACAACCCCCACAGGTGAGTGTCCGAGGTCTGGGGGGGTAAAAAGCTGCTTTGGTCCATTTGAGACCCCGATCCACATCCACACATCGCTGGGGTCCATGCAAGGGTCTCTTATTCCTCTGGCAACACTCTGCAGACCAAGAGTCTGGGTCATGGGGCTCGTTGGGGTTGGTTATGGGGTATTTGGGGTCACAGGGCACGTTGGGGTTGGTTATGGGGCAATAAACCCTTTGTTGTGCAGGTTTGGGGTCCTGCGGGAGCTGGATGAAGGGTGTGGGACCCTGAAAGGCAAGAGCTTGGATCTTGATATCTGTGCCAGTGACCACAAGTGGGTTTGCCAAAAAGCCCCTTTCCAGCTCTCCCCGCCCACGGCAGGAGACGTTGGGAAGCTGGATGATGCTTCCACCTGACACACTCGGGCAACGGACCCCATGTGGTATAACAAAATCATTTATTACAGTTCTTTCATGGTTTATCCACCCTGTTACAGCCGCAGTAAATTCCAGTCAGTAGCTTTTCTCTATATCCACTTTTTAGTTAAGCATTCTCTGCCCAGGAGAAAAATACTCCCAAGCAATTTCAGACACACACGGATACATCTCACCACGTCTGTATTCAGATTGCCAAGTTCCCCTTAAGTTTCTCCCAGAGTCACATAATCTCAGTACCTACACTTAAGTGTTATTTTTATGCTTTTACATTACTATAGATGACAATAAACCAAGTGGCTCCATCCCTGCTTTCCTTTGCAACCAAACTCTCCTAAAATAAACACACATATTCCAATACCCGTCCCTTCAGTGTCTTCACTCTAAACCCACCCCACGGGAGCCAAGAGTGACGGGTCAAACAGCCAAATAGTCCCGTCCTCAATGGGTGTCACCAATGGGTGGAAATAGTGGTTCTGTGAGGGCGACTCTGTGAGGGCGACTCTGTGAGGGCAGTTCTGTGAGGGCAGTTCTGTGAGGGCAGTTCTGTGAGGGCAGTTCTGTGAGGGCAGTTCTTTGAGGGTCATTCTGTGAGGGCGAATCTGTGAGGGCGATTCTGTGAGGGCAGTTCTGTGAGGGCAGTTCTGTGAGGGCAATTCTGTGAGGGCGATTCTGTGAGGGCGATTCTGTGGGGGCGAATCTGTGAGGGCAGTTCTGTGAGAGCGTTTTGCCATCTTGGCTCCCTCAGGGCTCCTTCAGCCACCGTGTCACCTGCGGACATTCCCTCGGACCTTTCCCCACCCGCACGGGGCGAGCGGCCCCCGCAGCTCCCGCCCCGACCAGGACACGAGGGACAGCGGTGGGGTCGTACAAACTTTAATATAAATGGGTAAAAAAGGAGAAGAGAGAGAAGCAGAGCGGCAGCACTGATACAGTGACTCTGCTGAGGCCACAATCAGGACATTGTACATTCACATTCACAGTTTCATATAGCTTTCAGCAATGTAAAAATACTTCACATGTGCACATTCAAGCACTATAGTGCTTGAATATAGTGCATACAGTGTTATGGATGTAAACTCTTAGGGTGTAAGCATAAAGTAAATATAACTAGAGGATGAGGAAGACTTCTGGAGAAAGAAACCCCTAGTCCACGAAGGCACAAATCCACTTCCACATCATGTCCCTGCAGGTTCACCTCCTTGAGACCAGCTACTGAGGTGACAGTGACAAAAGGCACCGAGGTTACTGAGGTAGTGCTGAGAAGAAACCTCCCCCTGTCCCACTCCAGCGCTGCCCGGCGCCTGTGGCTCCGCTCCATCCCCCCCTCCTGAGTCCCCCTTTCCAGGGAGAAACAGATGGGGGGGATGGAGGGGATGGACAGGGGGAAAACGGGACACTAGGGAAAAAAATTCCAACATCTCTCTTCAAACCCCGGACAATATTAAACAGGACTGGGCCCAATGCTGATCCCTGGGGGACACCACTGGTGACTGGATCCCAACTGGATGCAGCTCCATCCCCACCACTCTCTGGGCCCGACATTCCAGCCAGTTCCTGACCCAGCACAGAGGGCCCTGTCCAGGCCATGGGCTGCAGCTTTTCCAGGAATGTGCCCTGGGAGACAGTGTCCTGGGAGACTCCTTTGCTGGAGGACCCTTCAGGGTCCCTCTAGATGCTGACCCCAGGGAAGGGCTGGAGCTGTGCCAGGGCAGGGTCAGGTTGGATCCCAGGAAAAGGTTCTTCCCCCAGAGGGTGGTTGGAACTGACCAGGCTCCCCAGGGCAGTGGGCACAGCCCCAAACCTGCCAGAGCTCCAGGAGGGTTTGGATGATCCTCTGGGGAACAGGGGGTGACTCCTGGGGATGGGCCTGGGCAGGGCTGAGGGTTGGACTCCATGATCCTTGTGAGGTGCCTTCCAATACAAGATATTTTTGAGATATTCAGTGAAAATTTCACAGCCAGACAACTGAGATGTTCCCCCAGCAGTTCCAGTTGCAGTGCCAGGGTGGAGCTCCCTCATCTGG